AGTATTTTGTATAATAAAAATGTAATAAAATTAATATTTTAATTAAAAGTAGACAAATCAACCCATATGGCATAGGTTTTACTATGATCGCTAAGCATTGTTGATATCTAACTTTAAAAATTATATAAAAATTAGCAAATCAATCTTCTAACCTAATTAAATTTTTATTATAACACATATAATTTATAAAATATATTTTATTAAATCCAATTTTAAATATGATCAATACATTGTAAAGCTAAACTACTGACTAAATATAATATACAAGTAGATTAGTAGAATAATAATATTCAATTAATAAAGTTAATAAACAGTAAAAAAAAAATTTGAAATTAATACTATTACAAAAAATGTAAATTTCTCCATAAGTATTATACTTACATCCATAAAAATTAATATGTAGGTAGTTTCAACCTTGCTGAACAAATTTCAATTAATTTAGTAAGTCGATTTCATTTGACCAAAGAGGTATAATTACGCTCTGAAGTTATAACTGAAGAAATGAAAAATTCAGAAGTTAGTACCATTATGAAAAATGCACTTTTCTCCATAAGTATATTACTCACACTCATGAAAATTAATATATAAGTAGTTTCGACCTTGCTGAACAACTTTTAATTAATTTAGAAAGTCGATTTTATTTGACTGAAGTGGTGTAATTACGCTCTGAAGTTGTAAACGAAAAAGTGAAAATTTAAAAGTTATTACCGTTTAAAAAATATGCTTTTCTATATAAATATCATACTTAGCCTTATGAAAATTAAAATACAAGTAGATTTAAATTGCTGAAAAACCTTACTTAAGCATAAAAGATAATTTGATATAACCAAAGTGGTGAGTAGTGAAATTATATTTTAAAGTAAAACATATTTACAGTAATTTTATTTAACAAAATAAACATATATAATATAGTAATTTATATTAAAATAATATATACACTGAGTTTAATAAAAATTAAAAAGATACTATTGAAAAATAATTAATAAAACTGAAAAAAAAAAACTGAAATTTCATAAAAAAAAAATTTTTGTTTATGTATTTATATAAAATTATAAAATGTAGTATAAAATTAATACTCACCGTTAGTGAAAATAAAATAAAAAATTAATTATAAATTCAATATATAATATTTTAAAAAGTTCTATAAATATGAAAAATAAGCAACTAAAAACTCTTAGTATTTTAAAATAATACCAAAAATATGCAATTTAATTATCTTACATAGTATAAAATTTTCTCAAAATTAAGTATTATAAAATTCTTACATCATAAAATTTTTCTATGTTGGCTAAGCACCTTGGTACCTTACATATATAAGCATTTTCCGGGTCCTGTCATAACTGACTTTTGGCCAAAAACACCACTTTTTACTAAACTCAAAAAATTGTTTTTTGTAAATATCTTAATATTCAGTAATTCAATTTTAATGGATTTTTTTTATTTTGTAGTCCTCATTTAGCTCTACAATTTAAAAAAAGTTCATCAAAATCGGACCAATGGATGTTGAGATATTTACAAAAAAATGATTTTTTGAACTCTTAAAAAATGAGCTAATTTGCTAAAAGTGTGATTTAGTAATCATCGTACTTTCTCTCCTGTTGAGTTTTGCCCATTTTTTTCAAGAAGACATGAATGAAAAATATGAGGATTTTTTGCCTTAAGTGATAGTAAAAGGACTTTTTGACGTTATATAAAATTATTACTAAGGTCTTTAGTTTCGCCTAAACTCCTTACAGCTTATATTGAGTTAGAACCATTATCATGAGTCTTGGAGTTATCAACAATAATGTAAGATGGTAATTCTATACAAATGTTCTCCTGGATTTTCTAAAAGGTTAAAAAGTAGTGTGTCTTAGTTCCTACGCCTTTAAAGTTTAACTGGCCAAGTAGTTTGCAAGCCAGACCATTATTTCTTAGAAAAAGCTCATCAACTAACGTATTTCTTACTAGTTGTATGTTAATGGGGGAGTTAGTCTTCTAAAATAAGAAGATGGAGTTGAGGTGTATATTTAGTGTTTTTTACTCAGGTTTTTCTCATTGCACTGCGAGTTTTCATGAGTTTTATAATTTTATTTTTTATTTTTGTTTTTTTAGTCATTTTTTGGTATAACCTTATTTTCTTTGAAAGATAAGGGGATACTGGAAAATTTGATCATCATGGTGGTTTAGTGTTACTAATTTTCAAAATTGATGATTATTTAAGTGATAAGAGGAGTAACAGGTTAGGTACTACAGTTTTTGTAGTATGCCAATCAAGGTGGTTATATGTTGAACTATCATTGGATTGACTTATTTAGATAGATCTTAAGCTGATAGATTGTTCAAAATGAGGTGGATATCTTCCGGTAGGAATCGTTCGAAATGAGATAGATGTTCCTGTTAGAATTACATAACATTAAAAAGTTTCCCTAACAGCTGGACTGCATGACACTAAAAAGTTTCTGAAAGTTTTTTTAAAGTAGGTTAGGACTCCGAACAATATATATAAAGGAAGGTTTTGAGTTCGCTTAACCAATATATAAAAATTTTTCCTATATGAGATTTATTATTGCTTATTTGATAACATAATTTTAAAATAGTCAGATATAATTATGTGTAGCAGAGTATTAAATTATTAATAGTCAAATATATATTTGCATAGCAGGATAGAATTTTTTAATATATATATAATATAATATACTATATTTTACATTTTTCACATTAAAAAAATCTAATAAAATATGTAAACAAAGTTATAAACATGTTTGTGTAAAAAAAATTTACTATTTTTAATACTTTTTTAATACAAAGATTAAGTTAATTGTATACGTAATACAGGAAACATTTTAGACGTGATCATGTAATGTGTTTTTGATAAAACAAATACGCGTTCGCATAACATTAAAATTATAAATCATATACGTGTTCGTGTAATATTTAAAAAATATATATTAAAAATGAGAGCAACAGGTAGGTGGGAAAGGAAAAATAAGTGTTTTTCTGTTTTTTTATAATTTTACACTATAATTTTTGTAATAATCAATAAAAGTTATTTCATTTTTACTTAGAAAATTTTTTAAAAATATTTTTTTTGACAAATTTTACAGTAAATTTTAAAAATAAAAATTCTGTGTATTGGTAGCATTACAAAAAACATGAATAAATCCATATATATCTATTCAATCATGATAAAAATTTATATGTAAGTAGATTCGAACCAGCTGAATAACTTTACTTAAGAAGGTTTTGGATGTTTCATTTGACTAAAGTGCCTAATTTACGCTTTGAAGTCACAGAACAGATATACAAAATATTAATAAAAAACATTTATAAGTTGTAATATTACAAAAAAATAATAATAGCTTTATCCATACATTATTTCAAAAATTTTTGTTTTTTAGTTTTTTTTATATACATATTTTATAAAAAAAATTATATATAAATATATATATGTCATAAAATAAGTTGCTTAGCAGTGTAAAAAATTTATGGGGTAGATAGAAGTTTGCTTAGCAGACATGAAAAATATTTGCTTATTGATCTTAGTAAATTTTAAATTTTTCATCTGACCTATATATATATTGTTTGGGAAGGTTAGTTATCTATAGTATGTAGTCAAATAGGGAAAATTGAATTTTGTTCTTTTTTGATAGTGCTACAGTATTTGGCTTTGGGGTGCTTTGATCTTTAAATGTAGTGGGATGCTTTGCTGAGTATGTATAGCATAGTCGATTCTACCTTGTTTGAAATACTGTATAACTCAGGAGAAGGGGTAGTTATAATTATTTATATAAAGAGTAGTGGGTTTTAAATCTTAGCTTTTCTATATTTGTATTTTTTTGAAAATTTGTATTAGTTAGTTCTGCATTTTGTTGTGGTTCTTTACTGAATACCTGGTATTCTCTAAAGTATCTTACAGTAAAAATTAATAAAATTCAAGCACAAGCTATGTTAAACTAAAAGTGTGACTTGAGTAATAATCGTACTTTCTCTCCCGTTAGGCTTTACCCATTTTTTCCAAGAAGTTTTGAATGAAAAGAATAAGGACTTTTTGCCTTGAGTGATAGTAAAAGAACTTTTAGACATTATATAAATTTATTACTGAGATCTTTAGTTTCACCTGAACTATACATGAAACCGAAATTGGTTAATTTTGACCTCTGAAATGGTCGAAATGGTCAAAATGATTTCGACTTGAGCCCCTCCAAAAGTCAAAATAGTCAAAATTACGTCATAGTCATATAATTTTATAGTAAACAATAATATTAAAATTCAAAGTTATCGGACTTCGCATCCAGTGATTCGATTTTTATGATCTTTATACGATTGGAATTAGCTCATCGAGAGGATTCCAATGATATGTAATTCATATATGTAGCATCAATATTGACGGAGTTATTCACGTTTAAAATTTGGTATTAAATAGTCTTATAATTTTTATAGTAAACAATAATTTTAAAATTCAAAGTTAACGATCTCCGCATCCAGTGATTCGATGTTTATGATCTTTACGCGGTTGGATTCAGCTCATCAAGAGGATTCCAATGATATGTATTTCATATCTGTAGCATCAATATTGACGGAGTTATTCACGGTTAAAATTTTATATTAAGACTGGACCAAGTGGATACTCTGTTTAACATAACCCCCTCCTATTTAGTCCAAACGGAGTAGTTTAACATCATCATTTAATATTATGAAGTCACGTTATAGTTAATGAGTTTTTTTAAAAATAAAGTTACATTTTTGATTAAAAATGTTATTGTTTGCCTATTATGTAAACGAAGAACAATACCTACCATCTATTATGTAAATTATACTCAAGAATAACTATTACATAAATACCACCTTATTTTTATCCATAATGACCTTTTTACATGAATATTTTTTGGGTATTTTTAGATCTATTTCCCTTATAAATTTCTGGGTTCATGACCTTTTATTTTCAAATCCAATAAAAAAATGCCACATTTTGTAATACATGTAGAAAAAGTACGAAAATTGTGATAAGTTCAAAAATAATGAAAGTTGATATTAATTCAAAAACTTTCAATGATATTTTTGAACAACTTACTACCAGGAAGTTTTATCTGCATCAGGTTGAAGTTTATGTCAGCAAAGATGGCGCGTTCTGGACGTTCGTTCAAGATGAGTTAAATGACGAACTTTCTTTAATGTCTACATTTGCATATACACATATCAAGTTTGTAACACAAACTGAAGAAAAATTACCAATTGATAACACTTCAACTTTGGCAGCTGCAGCCCATTTTAATGCATTTAACCGAATTATGCAAAGCTCTACACAGCAGCCTTCTTTACTATCATTAAAAATGGAAAATAATCAAAATAATTTACTATTTAATGATATTATATGGTGTGCGTCACCTATAAATCACAAAATCTGAAATTTTAAATGTAGATTTTCACGTGACATGATACTATTTGCATGTGACTTCAGTGACAAAAAAATTGCGCGCGCGTATTTTTTAATTTTATTCAAATTTATTTAACTTGTCTAATATATATTCAGTAGGGTAGGGTGTCTAGGATTTATTGATCATGATTTTATAACAAATTTGGCTATTTTTTTGCGATTTAGACATGATCACGATTTTTGCCAAAAATTTGCGATTTTTGTGACATTTGAATTTAATTGGATAATAAATCATATGATCGGTAAATTGATATCTTAAAAAATTTTTTTCACTAACTACTTTAACACTTTGTGATCTTAGTATTTTTACAATAAAGAAACAAAATGGTTGCGCCTCATGTACATCTATTATAAAGTGCTGAATATCAAAAAAACTATATTGTACAAGGGAATTTATTATGGTATCATTTTTGCAATGTAGAAGTTGATTATAAAAGAAAAGACTCTGTAGACAAACATATTAAAACAGTNAGAGGATTCCAATGATATGTATTTCATATCTGTAGCATCAATATTGACGGAGTTATTCACGGTTAAAATTTTATATTAAGACTGGACCAAGTGGATACTCTGTTTAACATAACCCCCTCCTATTTAGTCCAAACGGAGTAGTTTAACATCATCATTTAATATTATGAAGTCACGTTATAGTTAATGAGTTTTTTTAAAAATAAAGTTACATTTTTGATTAAAAATGTTATTGTTTGCCTATTATGTAAACGAAGAACAATACCTACCATCTATTATGTAAATTATACTCAAGAATAACTATTACATAAATACCACCTTATTTTTATCCATAATGACCTTTTTACATGAATATTTTTTGGGTATTTTTAGATCTATTTCCCTTATAAATTTCTGGGTTCATGACCTTTTATTTTCAAATCCAATAAAAAAATGCCACATTTTGTAATACATGTAGAAAAAGTACGAAAATTGTGATAAGTTCAAAAATAATGAAAGTTGATATTAATTCAAAAACTTTCAATGATATTTTTGAACAACTTACTACCAGGAAGTTTTATCTGCATCAGGTTGAAGTTTATGTCAGCAAAGATGGCGCGTTCTGGACGTTCGTTCAAGATGAGTTAAATGACGAACTTTCTTTAATGTCTACATTTGCATATACACATATCAAGTTTGTAACACAAACTGAAGAAAAATTACCAATTGATAACACTTCAACTTTGGCAGCTGCAGCCCATTTTAATGCATTTAACCGAATTATGCAAAGCTCTACACAGCAGCCTTCTTTACTATCATTAAAAATGGAAAATAATCAAAATAATTTACTATTTAATGATATTATATGGTGTGCGTCACCTATAAATCACAAAATCTGAAATTTTAAATGTAGATTTTCACGTGACATGATACTATTTGCATGTGACTTCAGTGACAAAAAAATTGCGCGCGCGTATTTTTTAATTTTATTCAAATTTATTTAACTTGTCTAATATATATTCAGTAGGGTAGGGTGTCTAGGATTTATTGATCATGATTTTATAACAAATTTGGCTATTTTTTTGCGATTTAGACATGATCACGATTTTTGCCAAAAATTTGCGATTTTTGTGACATTTGAATTTAATTGGATAATAAATCATATGATCGGTAAATTGATATCTTAAAAAATTTTTTTCACTAACTACTTTAACACTTTGTGATCTTAGTATTTTTACAATAAAGAAACAAAATGGTTGCGCCTCATGTACATCTATTATAAAGTGCTGAATATCAAAAAAACTATATTGTACAAGGGAATTTATTATGGTATCATTTTTGCAATGTAGAAGTTGATTATAAAAGAAAAGACTCTGTAGACAAACATATTAAAACAGTAAAGCACCTTAATAATAAAAATAAAAATAATTCTAATTCATTACTTCAAAGAACTTTACTTTTATTTGAAAATACATTAAATGAAAGAGAGAAAATTAATAAAGAAGTAGTAGAGGCTTTTACTTATGCAGATATTCCCTTAGAAAAAATAGAGAAATTAAAAATTTTTTTATTAAGGCATTGTAATAATGGTATAAATTTTCTATTTTTATATATTATTATAATTGAATTTATTTAATATATTTATTTATATTTGTAGGAGGTTTAATTACTGGAGCAAATCAATTTCGCGAAAAATATCTTTTTTTATCATATAATGAAGTAGAGCTCCAAAAATTGAAAAATGATATTGTTGACAAAATTATTTGTTTAACGATCGATGAGACAACAGATCATTGTGGACGGCATGCGGTCAATCTTTTATTTAGTTTTGATAATCAAACTAAATTAGCTAGAACTGAATTTCTATTTAATGTTAATGCTTCATCCATTTCACAATTTGTTATGAATACCATTCATTTTTATAATATTTCTTATCAGAATATTATTTTTTTTATATCTGATAATGCTTTATATATAAAATTAGCATTTTCGCATTTATCTCCTTTTTTACCAAATTTAAAGCATAACTGTTGTTTAGCTTATATTCTCAATTTAATTGGCGAAACTTGGGTGAATTTCCAAAAGTTTGAATTAGTTGATAAACTAATTATGAATGTCAAAACAATGTTTACTTATAATTTACAAAGAAAAATTTGTTGGAAAAAGCATTTAATACAAAGTGGTGTTGAATCACCTACTCTAGCGCCATTACCTGTAAAGACTCAATGGAACTCCTGGTTTTTATTTTTATGTTGGATTAAACCCTTATATTCTCACTTAATTACTTTTATTATTGCAGAATATTCTATTAACCATGATTCTCGAGATCTCTATAACTTTTGTCAAAATAATAACCATGTTTTATATGTTAAAATATTCATTTATTTTATTATGTTAATTAATTGTTTTAATAATTCTATATTATACTGATGCATTATTTTATTTAGGCTGATTAATGATTTGGAATTTTTTAAAGTTCCAATTTCAAATGAGATAATTCAAGTTTTAAGTAAGATAAATAATAATATTAATCTTTATATACCACTATTTGCTAAAGCTTTTACATTAGTATATGAAAAAAGTGAAAAACATATATGTTAACATCCAGCTTTACCATTATTCAAGGCAATACAATGTTTTGATCCAAGATTTATTCAATCTAATACAGCTAATCATAATATGGAAGATTATAGAGTTGTTAAAGAATTTCATTTTCCAACTGATGCTTTAATACAAGAATGGGCTATTTACTGTGGATTTAATGAATCTATCAAAGAATTTAATAATTTAGATGTATATTGGCGAAGTAAAATACATATACTACCAGAACTTAGTTTATTGACTTTAATATATATATGGTTGCCAGTATCTGGTGTAGATGTTGAGCATAGTTTTTCTAGTTATAAAGGTATCTTATCCAATAGAAGAGTGGCACTTAAAGAAGAAAGCATTCAAATGCTTAATTTTCTATATTTTAATCTTGGTAGTAATATTGATAATTATGATTTAATAGAATAGTATGGCAATTACAAATGTAATATTCAATATTATTGATTTTAAATAAATAAATTTATATAAAATTATGGATATATTTCGCTGAAATTAAGTTAATTTAAGCTGAAATTAAGGCCACGATTTTTATGATTTTCACGATTTTCATCTCAAGATTTTTAGATCATCACGCCAACAAATCCTGGATACCCTAATATTCAGGAATACAGCGGTGAGATTTATATTTTTTGGCTGCATATTCTGCCAACTTACCTGTAATTCCATTTCTATATAAATCCATATAACGCCACGTTTTCTTTGCAAATTTTCTTATCATTTTTGTATCAACAGATTCTAAAGCTGCAGGAACAACACATTGCAAGCTTGACCATGAATAATCACAATTCTCACAAGCATATCTTTTTGCTGCCCCCCAATATCTTTCAATAAAGTTAAGTTCACAATGGAACTTTGGATAAAAAATGCATTTATGTCCAGCTTCTAATATTGCTTTCTCTAATGCACTTTTTTGTTCCATAAAATCAGGTTGTAATGAAATAATTCGGCGAGCATAACAATCAATTTAGGTTACATCATCCACTTTATCTTTACACAACTGACAATCAGTATTTAGACCATTTTTCCATTAGTCTCGTTCAATTAAAACTTGTTTCATTCCCTTGGACTTTCCATTTTCATTTACCATCAATTGGTGCTGATTGTTTAATCCAAAAACTGTATCCTCATTTTTGGTTGCTTGCCGCCAGGTTTTAAGTTCATTTTATTTGCTACAAGAGCATCAGGTTTAAATGCTGCATGGTTTGAGCTATTATCAAATGCAAATAATGCAATACAATTGGGAAAAAGGGTTTCAAAAATGGGAATTGCTTTTGTTTTTATTTGATTAATTAGGTGTTTACTTGTCCAATACCCTTCACGATCTTTGCTAGGTTGGAGATACACGCATGCTTCTTTAGGTATAAAAGGATTTTCTTGATGCTGTTATATATTTAATTTAAGTCGTCCACATTCCTCTAACAAAATTCACTAACCATTATCAAACATCTATTTCCTTTTTTGCGTAATGGCAATTCTCCCAATTTCGCCTATACATCCCGTTTTCCATCATTAGAGTAAAAGATACATTCATCATGCGTTATAAGAATTATCTCTTTATCATCAAATTCAAGTATTGGTGGTATTCGTTCCATAGTTTTACCTTCATATTTCACCATATACTTCTCATAACTATAGATTTCATCTAGAAAGGATTTTCAATATTCAACAACATCAGGACGTTCATGACCATCATAATAAATACCTTAAATCCTTAATATTTAAATAATAGGGTTATTTTTTTGTATAACAATGTGTTAATTAATCTTTTTACCTTGCTTTTGTGATTGAAAAGTATAATTAAGAACATTTAACCATTATGCTGCAGTTTTCATGCTGATAGTTTTTTTTTTGTTATTCCAGAATTTGCAAGCAATTTTTGCTCAACGAATTTCTTAAACTTCAATGGAGTGGTTA